AATTAATGTAATCACTAATTTCAAGCGCTGTTCTATAACCACTTCATAAGGCATGCACTATTGGCCATTGAGTGTTTTGCTGTCAATGGCCATGAACTCTAAATCATTATTTGTTTATTACAGACCTTTACAACACCCCATGTCATTTGCAACTGATGACAGCAATAACAGAGGATGTTGAGCAAAAGCTACTAGCAGTGAAATGCAGAAAGTAAAATGATAACTGTCACAACATTACTAGCCAGTACCTAAAATTGGTTCCAGCATGTATTCAATATGGCAGTCTGCGCAAGCCAAAAACCAAAACAGCATTAACACCTTAGTAATAGTAGCAAAACAAAACAAAAAGGCAATCTAGACACGAAGCCTTGGACTATGATCTAGAATGCATAAACAATTCTCAATAGAATCCACTTCAAAATTTGATGCATTTTTCCTACAGTAATGTGCATATCTAGCATGTCAAAAGGTAAATTCAGTTTAAAAGATGCAAGTTAGAGCATTGCTGAACAGAATAAAAACATAAAACCTTAAAAGGATAAGAGGATTAGCTTATTAATACTATTATGCAATTATAATAAACATGGTATGATCAGGGATAAAAGATGACTCATAGAGATTATAAAATCTCTGTAAACATGATCTTGATTCAGATATGAAGCTAAGATTTGTTTTAAACAACTCATAAGATAAATATAAAGTAAGAAAATATTGTAGGAGCTAAATTTTACACATTATATATAATTATTCTTTATAGTTAGAGGAAATTTCTATCTTCTTTTCTTAGACAGCTGCAGAATTCATTTTTTAATGTTCTGCTTCTCATTTAAATAGTGAAATATAAAATTTTCTGTGGCCACAGCTGTTTGTTAATAAAGGATTCATCCTATTAACTCTACATCATTTGTGACCTGACATGAGGTAGTCACCAAAGACCCAACACTGAAAACAATCTACTTACTAGATAAATTAAATCTAACTCTTGCAATGTTAGTAATACTGCAAAGTGAGTACAATTTTTCTAAATGAAGTTTTTGCGAAGTCTCCACATTTTCTTTTTCTCCCCCCAAAAAGTAGGTAATGAGATTGGATAGCAGCTTATTTTGGGAATAGATCTTAACAACCAAAACCAGATGATGGAAAAAAGGGATAATGAAAGACTAGAAAACCAGTCCAAACATGTATTATCAAGTTTGCCACTTCTATAGTGACTGGGGCTTGATCCCTCTGGGGACATCTTGGGGATCAATGGAAAATTAACTGAAGAACCTTTCATACTAGGAACGGATGTACTGCTCAAAAACTGTTCATAGTGCTTTAGGAAATATATAGAAATTAGTAAAACCTGCTATTTTTAATTTATACAGAAGAGATTTACAAGAACAGAGTGATCATGTTGAACAGAGCGCCTTTCTTGGTAGGCCTGATGTTTACCTTCCGGTCACAAAACAGTGATCATGTTATTATTCATGTAAACCTCAAGTGAACTGGCTTGTCAAGGGCCTGCCAACAGCAGGATCCAAATCTGAGAGGCAGAGCAGACTGAGAGTGTTTCAAAGTGAAAAGTTAAACACAATGGTATCGGAGAAAGCTTCTTAAGACTCAGAACTCATGGAGACATCAATTTTATAATCTACAATGAGCAGGGACTCATTTAGCTTGCCTGTATTTCCAATTCAAGGACAAAAATAAAAAAAAATAGTAAAAGAAGTTTTTCCTTTAAAGTATTAAAGAAATTATCAACTTAAAATGTTGATGTATCTGTTTTTTACATACTTGGAAAGTATGTGTGTATGTCTGTATGTATCTGAAGGTGGAGTGTAAGAGAAATAAAGAGAGGGGAGAATAAATTAATCTCTCATATTCACTCTCTAGATGTCCAAAGGAAAGAATAGAACTGAGAATGGAACAGCTTGAAAATTCATCGAGGTCTCCCTCAGGAGTAGCAGACCCTGGGACCTGGACCATCCTCTGATGCTTTTCTAGATTCACGAGCAGAAAGCTGAATCAGAAGATGAAGCGGGTTTTGATAACTGGCTCTGATAGGGGACCTTCATGTCCCAAGCATCAGTTGAAGCCTCTTGTACTTCAAGGCCCACCTGTTTTCAAAGTTTGTAAAACATCTACATACAGATTATCTTATTTGAAGTTACTAATGATGCTGTGGGAAAGTGCCCTGCTTTACCTACTAAACAAATCCATGTTTATCTTAACCCAGCATCCTGAAATCTGTGTCCTTGCTTTACCTAGAACTGTGTCTATTCTGTAAGCACTGACACTCATGCTCTACCTATGGTGATACAATATCAGACCAAACACAACCCTTAGTTCAATGAAAGTATGAGCAAGCTTCCCACAGAAAGATGTATTGCCAATACCATTGCCATTTGTGCGATTTGATCTCTTACTGGTGATGTCTGTAATATTTCAAGGAAACTAAATCCAGAGGCTTTGTGCCATCCTGAACTACTGATCAAGAATCCAAATAATCAACAACTAAAGGAAACTCAACAAAGCGACACTGCCCAATATATCGAAACCAGTTCAGAACATTTGATTGACAAAATATATTCATGAAAAATAAACATAGAATATTACTACTGCCAGAAAACAATATTTCTAACAAAATGTGGGATCTTTTGGATGATAAATACTAAGTTTAAGCCATGTGAATAGCTAGAAACAGAAAATGTCCTAATATGTCATACCATGTTTTCTGTATTTTCTAGCAAACAAGAAAGCATTTGCTAAACCTTAAAATCAAACATATAAATTTAGGATATTATTAAGTAAAATATGCAGTTAAACTCCAGTAAGAATTCTGAGGAATTATTTCACATATGAGAAAGTAGGTACATAGAAACTAATATTCCTCATGATTATCATTGAAAAGTGATAATCCAAATGAGAGGTAGAGTCATTGGTATTCAGCTGAGAGGCAGGGACACTGGTTGGGAAGCTCAGACCCTGTATCAGAGTTCTTGGGTTTGAGTTTTGGTTAATGCACTCTGAGCGGAAGCTCAGTTCACTCCCTGCCACCCATGTCAGACACCTGGGTTGAATTCCCAGCTTCAAGTTTTGGCCGAGAGCCGCCCCAGCCATTTGAAACTCTGAAACAGCAACGAAGCAGCAGATGGGAGATACATCTCTTTTGCTTGCTTGTTCTCTCTCAAATAAAGAAATTAAAAGTTTAAAAAAATGAAAAAAGGAGTGGTAGAATCAAAATCTTCTTCTATTTGTTTAAAACTAGAAATTTCTTTCCAATTCAGTTTATTTTATTTTCTATTATAAGAAAAATGCAGATTTATTGGTAAAATTCATAAAAGATTAGCAGTCAGTGTCTCGTTTTCACAAATCCCTGAGCAGCAGAGCAAAAAAAATAGGGGGCCCAGCGGCCATGGCCTAGCAGCTAAAGTCCTCCAACGTGCCAGGATCCCACATGGGTGCCAGTTCTAATTCCGGCAGCCCCGCTTCCCATCCAGCTCCCTGCTTGCTTGTGGCCTGGGAAAGCAGTTGAGGAAGGCCCAGAGCATTGGGACCCTGCACCCGTGTGGGAGACCCGGAAGAGGTTCCTGGTTCCCGGCTTCGGGTCCACATACCTCTCTGTCTCTCCTCCTCTCTGTATATCCAACTTTGTAATAAAATAAATAACTTATTTCCATATAAGGAAATATGCCTTCATATTCATTTGTGACATGTGGCTTACCAAATGGCATCTTGCTTAAATTCTTCAAGAAAATGTGTTGGATCAGCATTGTGGAACAGCAGGTAAAGCCACTTCCTGTGATGCAGGCATCCCACCTGCGTGCTGGTTTATATCCTGCAGCTCCACAACGGATCCAGCTCCCTGTTAGTGGTCTGATAGACCTGGATGTTTCTCTCTGTGCTTCCATTTCTCCTTCTCTCTAACTCTAGCTTTCAAATAAATAAGACTTTAACAATAAAGTACTTCTTAAATCTTCTTATGCCAAATCTCTTCACACAACAATAAGGTCAACATTAGACAGGACCATAGAAGTCCAAGATGTAGGAAAGTTAGCAGTTTGCTTCCATCTCCAAATTTTGTCATTTAATTTATCTAATTTAATGATACTAGTAATAAAAATGATTATGGTAATAATACTATTGCTGGTAGTAGTTTACTATGATGATAATGAATCACTATTGAGAGCTGACTGCGACCTAGCTACCATGTAAGTGCTTTTTATGTTGACTCAGTTACTTCTCACACTCAAAGTATTATTAGTATCTTCATTTTACACATAAGGAAATGCATGGAGAGGCCAAATGACTTTTCCAAGCAGCACTGAAGGAGGTAGCTGTACGCCAGGCAGCTGCAGACACTCTGCTACATTACCTGAATTCAGATCCGAGTCCAGGGGTCTGGACTATAGTTGCAAGCAATCAGTGTTTACAATGACATATTTTGGTAGATCCACATTCATTGACTGTAAATCAAGTGAAATATGCATCTCACTGTAATTTATTTACTGAAATTAAAATCTCTGAAATTGTGTAAAGTGTGTGTAAAGCGTGTGTGTGTGTGTGTGTGTGTGTGTGTGTGTGTGTGTGTGTGTGTGTGTGTGTACTGGGGGTGAGTACACAGGTTAATGCAGACAGAAACAGAGCAGAATACTGAACCAGAGGAGTCTTTTTTTTTTTAAAACCTTAGACTGTCAGAATATACTTCCAACTTTTTTTTAATATTCTAAATAAATTCAGAGTTATTTCATTTTTATATTCCCATGATTCCTGTAAAGATCCAAAATTGGGTGTAGTGACTCACCACTTAGCCTGAAACGGGTCATTGTGAGTTATTAAGAAATAGGAAAGATTCTGCTTATGCCACTGTCTCTATATTATAGGTTTTTCTCAACAGGTTTCACAAAACTAGCTACAGATCCAGCTGTTCTACCCATAAAATGCTACTTAGATGGACGCGGAGAGCGCACAGTCCCCAGTGGGAGAGTGCACAGCTTGCCCTCCATACCCTGACATACCCGGTCAGTTTTCCCTTCGGTCTGGATGCTGGTGTGACTGCGGACCTCATGATCTTCTTCAAGATCAGAAACATCCTCCAGTTCCTCTGGTGTCTGTAAAGAAAAAAGAAGAGCAAAACTTGATATTGGCAATGTCATATGTTGGAGGCTCTCTGGAGAAACAGTTTGGTCAATATCTCAGAAGGGTAATCTTCAGTTTCTATGTAACTCACCAATGCTGCCTTTATCTATACGTCTGAGAGAAATAAAGACATACATCTTTGCAAAAACTCATACTCAAATTGTCAGAGAATCAATTTTCATCAAAGTTGAAAAGTGGAAACTGAAATATATGTTTTGATGAATGGGCATAGTATGGTATATATGTATGCCTTTTATATTATCCAGTAACATTGTAAGGAAATTAAATCATAAATGATTTGAACTTCAGAGACAGTTGTATAAATGGCTAGGGTTTTTTGTACATTTTTCTTTTAATTTCTCCTTAAACACATACTGCTCAGGAATCTCCTGCAAAGAAATTCCCTAGAAAGGGGTGGATTTCTATGAAGTATTTCCTCTGTGTTCAGTATCCTAATGTTCATTATATTTTATTACATCATTTCATGTTGAATTAGTGAATCATTGAATGGCATGAGAATGGGCATTCCCCATTCTCACACCACCCAAACCACACACACTTAGTGAATATATGAAGAGTATTAGTTGTAACAACAACAACAATACATGGAAATGAGCCAAACCAAATAGATCAGCAAACAGCAACAAACACCTATTTTTCCTAATTCAGGTTTTTATTCTCTCCGTTTGTAGGAATAAAGTTGTCATGTTGCAAATACAGGTAAAAGTATTTAAAAAGAATTCCTCTTTACTTTTACCAGGCTCTGGCTTATACTATAGTTCTTTCACTTCAAAAGCACAAACCCCAGAAAATTTGCATTTAGGCTTCATTAAGACACACATACACACCGCAGAAATGGACGGCATCCTTGCATCTGCATCTCTAATGCACACGTTGCTGCTGAAAACTGGAATAGGGCGGGGTCTTCCTCCTTAGGCCAGTTCTGGATTCCCTTAAATCTTGCTTCATACACAAGTGTTTTGCTTATTGTTAGGGTTGTCAAAGCCTTTATTCTCCTTGAAACCACTCCAGAGATGAGAATGTGCGATTAGCTCCCATCCTGGAACAAATCTCCCAGTTTCCTATTCACTAATGATTTCACATCTTTTTCATCTCAGGAGTCTTTAGCATTTTCTTTGGGCTAAATCTAAGCATCACCTACTTATTTATAGAAAGACTTTTGTACTTATTTCAAACATTCAAATTCCTGCTGAACTAAGGCCTTTGATGTGCTGGATATTTCTTCTTTATCTGTTGTTATTTTTGTAATCATTCTTGGCTTCAAACATGTACAATTATAACCGCAGAGCAATTTATTCTCTCAGGTATTAATAGCAGGAGCTCAGTGCTAGCAAACTTCTACACAATCACAAATTACATTCTTAATCATTTTGTATTTTTTTTCTCACTATAGCCTTGAGAAAGCATCTTGTAAAATTTCCCTCATTAATACATTATCAGACCCTATGTAAAATTTGAATAAAATTAGAAAACAATTTTTGTTTTCTTACTTTCTTATGTTTAAGAAGTGAAGATTATCCAATATTCCTCCTACCATTTTTTAAAAACTATTGTCTGTGTATATTATTTTGTATTGCTCTATTATGTTGTGACATTAAGCTTAATTATTTATTCCAGTATTACATTCCACCCCAATTAAAAAAACTAAATAGACACTGTAAATTACTTCTGCTCTCAGAAGTCACATGTAACAATTTCCGAGGGGATGTTGAAGGAAGAGATAAGCCCAGGATTTAAGCCCACATGCTGCTGTGCCTTTGTGTTTAACACAGAACTAACAGTTTTCTTGCAAGAGTACCAAAATGTACTTATTTTCATGAACAAAATCAGTGGGACAGTGTTAAAACATTTGCTGGCAGAATCTAACATTCTTTAAGGCAAGAAAGTGCCTGGTAATATGGAAATAGAAAAATATGATGCTATGCTTACAATCCAAAGTTTTAAAATATTTTATTCGTTTATTATTTCAAATATATATAGAGAAACAGATATTAATTTTCCATCCTTCCATGTGCTGATTCACTTGCCCAAACTGTTAAATCTGTATGCATTTGTTGAGTTATTACTTATACTTTTCTGTACTATTTAAAATATTTTAAAGTAAAATTAGAAAAGGAAAAATTTTAAACTATTAACTTAAAACTAAGAAAGAGAAGTACCTATTTTGGGTGATGCATGAAATCTTATGCCATTGAAATAAATATACAAAAAGCGAAAATATTTAATAAGCATGAGGAGGAATGATTGGTTGTTCTGAAGTAGCGTACTCTTACAGACAGTATTATTTATTCTTCTGGTAACTTTAGGAAGTTAAACATCTGGGATGTGTATAGTCATACATGCATGCATAAATTTAGAGGGGTGTGTGTGTGTGTGTGTGTGTGCACGTATATTCAGTTTTGAATTTTAAACACATAATGAACTGCTACAAGACATCAGGTAATTTTTACAACCTATTTAACTTTGATTTCCCAGGGGAGGTTGTGGGGGAACTTTGGATTTATTAAACATAGTCCTAAAGGTTGTTGTGAAGCTCAACTACACCAAGATGCTTTAGCCACAAAACTAGCTGAAGCACAAAAAAGCAGAACACTGCTCCATCTCTGTTGCTTTTCACTTCATTTCTTACTCTTTTAGGACAAATTTTTTCAAATATCATTTTTATAATTACATGCTAATTTAATTTAATACTAATTATTCTTTTGGGGATGTTGTAGAAGTCTACAAACATTTCTGTACTTCAGATTCTCCAAATATTATCCTGAATTAATGCAGTACTTAAGTCTTTAGTTATGTTCACTTGATTATGACTGTATAATGCCACTGTGCTGAACCGAACTTAATTCTATATCCATTGCATTACTTAAATAAGAATTATTTTATTGGATTTTATCATATGTAAAAACAAGATTTTTTTCTTATACTGACGTACACTCTAATATAGGATGAGGATACTCCAAATGGTGGGTTATCCTGATATGCCACAATGCTGGCTTAATGTTGAGGTGTGTGCTGGTGAAACGAGGACAAAAGTAAATAAATAGTGGCTATCCACTAAACATCAATGTACTAATAAATTTTGCGTATGTAACTCCTCCTGCCCCCAAATAGTTCAATACTTTTTTTTTTTTAAAGATTTATTTTTATTATTTTTTCATTGGAAAGGCAGATATACAGAGAGGAGAGACAGAGAGGAAGATCTTCTGTCCGATGATTCACTCCCCAAGTGAGCACAACGGGCCGATGCTATGCCAGTCCGAAGCCAGGAGCCTCTCCCGGGTCTCCCACGCGGGTGCAGGGTCCCAAAGCTTTGGGCCGTCCTCGACTGCCTTCCCAGGCCACAGGCAGGGAGCTGGAAGGGAAGCGGGGCTGCCGGGATTAGAACCGGCGCCCATATGGGATCCCGGGCGTGCGAGGCGAGGACCTTTAACCACTTGTGCCACCGTGCCGGGCCCAGTTCAATACTTTTTTACATATTATCTCATTCTGTCAATATCCCTATTTAGACCTCTACTACAGATGTTAAAAAGGGAAAAGTCTGGTCACCAACAGCATGAAGGAAAGAGTGAAGGAAACAGGCAAAGACAGAGACAAAAGAGAGGAAAAGCTACTTGGCTTTCTCTAAAAATTAAGATTAAATTTTAAATCCTGTAAATTATTTAATAATATATCATACTTTGCTTCTGCCCTTCAGCACACCAATGTCAATGGTATTTGATATCACAGGCTCTTTGGAAACATTCTACAGTGTCCAGCCTAAGCAGAGGCTGCTGTCACATGCTTATCCTATTTAGGTTGTTGGCAAAGAATGATTTTGAAATGTGAAAGAATGCCAGAATCTAAACACCTATGAAAAATAAGAATAATTATACCAGCAACACAATTTCAAAGTGCAGAAATCTAAGGAATATTCCTTGATCACACATATACTCACTTCCCTGTTTTCCATTTCTGGCCAAGAGACGTACACTCTCCCACTATGAGTGCTGAGGAAAGCAGTGACATCCTTGTCACTTCCTGCCTGACCCCTCCGATACACGTACTCCTCATTCTACGCTGCAAACTCTTTGTCTCTCTCTGTTTGCTGCTCTGTTTTCGCTAGATTCTTGGAGTTCAGATGCTCTGTTATCAGAGAAACCTTCCCTGGCAATTACACCAAAAGGTAACCCATTCCTAAATTTCATTTATTCATTACAGTACCATGAATACTTTCTTCTGGTTTCTTTGTGTCATTATACATTAAAATTACCCTTTTTCTTTTACTCCTTTTGGGAAAATAGAGGCATACCATTCTTTTGCCCAATAGAATATAACTTACATGTGTATCTCTGCCTTTCCAATAAAAATAATCTTTAAAAAAAGAAATACATGACATCTTTTCAATTTCTATGTCCTAACTAAATAAAATAATGAATAATTAAAAACCCAAGGAACTTCAACTATCAATGTCATGAAATAATTCACAGGAATTTTCCTGGCTTACAAAAGGTATTTTTGCCTTATTCTTCCAATACAGGTTGAATCCGTAAAACTTTGCCTAAAGGAAAATGTATGGTAAAGATTCCTTGTCTTTGTTTCTGCAGGACTCTATAGAAAAGATAGATGAGATTTTGTGTTGGGAGATATTTTCCACAAGATCAGAAGAGATTCTTAGAATGCAAAGACTAGAAGAAGTCTGTGGTCCTATTAGCAGCTTTAACTCTGCCCTTCTCCCTGATAACAAAACAAAGATACCAAAAAAAAAAAAATTAGAAATGCCATCTAGTAAACATAGACCCATGTTACCAGTCTCACTACGGTCCTATCATGAAATTTGTCATGAAAACATGAGAACAGGGCCCGGCGCGGTGGCGCAGTGGTTAAGGTCCTCGCCTTGCACGCCCGGGATCCCATATGGGTGCCGGTTCTATCCCAGTAGCCCCGCTTCCCTTCCAGCTCCCTGCCTGTGGCC